GTTCTGTCGTCTGTTTTCGTCCCTACTTTCTGCCCCCACCCCTCACCTCCTTTGCCACCTCCTCTGGGCTCCTAACTCTTACTGCAGCCTTTCTACTGCCACTACCTGGCTCCTTACTGCTGTCTTTCAGCCGCTCATTTGATCTTCTGGTGGGAAAGATCTACATCTAGCCTTCTCGGACAAGGGTGAAAAATCTCGGAGGTCCCGTGTGCAAGTTGTGCATGTTAAAAATCCATTGGTGGTCTAAAATCGATGAGTAGGATTCGGCCGCTACTTGGGCAAAATTAAAAATTACCTAGCAACTGAAAATGTATAATGTGTCCTACGCGCTCATATATGACCTTATGCCTCATGCAGTTGCAAGCGCCGTAAAAAACTTATTAAAAAACAAAAAAGAAAAAAAAGCCCAGATCAAGAAGGAGGCCATACGGAACCGGGAGAAGAGTCATAGAGAACGATGCATAGAAGCGTGGAAAGATGTGGAATAATTTCAAAAAGCTATCCCAAGACATGGAAAAGTGGAACATGTGTTTCTTAGCGGTCTGTACCAGGGTTGGGTTGGTTTAAATCAGCTGATTTTTTAAATTTAAATTTACTTGATTTTTAAAATAAAAATAAGTGATTTAAATCACTTTTAAAAAATAATTTTTATTTAGTTTTTACATATTTCAACATTCAAAATTCCTTTCCTTGGTTTCATAAAACAGATAAAGGATTTAGTAGGCTAGATCTAATATAATCATGATTAGAAGTCTGCTTTCCCCCCTTTCACTGTAAAATAATACAGTATTCAATTTACTTTTTTTCCATAATTGAAATCAGAGCTGGGTTGATTTAAATCAAATAAGAATCAGTGATTTAAATCACTTTTTTTAAAATGTATTCAGTTTTTACATATTTAAACATTCAAAATTCCTTTTCTTGGTTTTATTAAACAGATATAAGGTTTAGTAGACTAACATAATCATGCTTTAAGTGTGCTTTCCCCCGTCACTGTAAAATAATACAGTTTTCAATTTACTTTTTTTTTCATAATTGAAATCAGGGTTGGGTTGATTTAAATCAGGTCGATTTAAATCAGTTGATTTTTAAAAAATTTTTTAATCAACTTGACTTTAGAAATAAAACTGATTTAAATCACTTTTTTAAAAATGTATTCTGTTTTTACATCTTTAAACATTTAGAATTTCTTTCCTTGTTTTTTTATAAAACAGATATACGATTTAG